TAACATTTGTTTTGCTGCTTCATTTGAAAACGTTTCCACTTTTGGTGTTTTGATTCAGTTGCACGAACAGGAAAAACTTCCCTTGCTCACAGGCCATGTGGCTCCTTGGGCTCTGCATGCAAAGCTGCGAATTTCGTGGACTCTCCCATGTGAGGGAACGCATTAACTACAGGTCAGCAAACTCTGGTTATTGGCTTGTTTCACACCGAGAGCTGTTATTACCCCGTTGCTTTTAAGGTGCCTGCTTGGAGGTAATTATTTAGTGTGTCCAAAGCCGTGTGGAATTCCAGCACAGCCTCTGCTCCCTGGCGTTAATGATGCAGCACAGTCACAGCTCTTTGTTCCCCTCGGTTTGCCCTTGGGACAACAACTGACTCCCAGAGAATGAGGAGTTTCTCTTAATGTTCTTTTTTTTTTTTTTTTTTTTTTTTACCAGGGCTTGGCATGTGGTTTCTCTGGGTTTGTCATTCATTCAAAATTAATTCAAAAAAGATCTTTCTTTTTTTGTTTCAATTTCCCTTTAGGATTGAAATTCCAGCGTGTTCTATAACAGGCGTAGAAACCATGAGCCTGGATCTATTTTTGCTCTTTGACACGATCCTACGTATTTTCCCACGATAAGATTTGTCATCAGTGTGGGAATTCATACCAGGGCTGAGCCCAGAATTGTGTAAAATTCCCTTTTTTCTGTTAGGATGGAAGGGCAGAGGGCACGTCAGGGAACGGCCTCGTTTGACAGTGAGCTGGGAGGGAACTCCAGCAGGGACAAGAATTGGCCTGGCACGACCCCTGACTCTTCTGGGGTGTCTCTGTGGGCCTGCAGGAGTGAAGTGTCCAAAATTTTGGGAAGCCTCAACGCTTTTAGAAAGTTGATCCTGCGTGACGTGTCCGCTGCTGGTCTTGATCATCTGTGGTGGAATCAACAAGTGAATTCAAATCCTCCAACCTCCTCCCACTCCCGGGTCACTGGAGGCACCCTGGCCTGTCGGGCACCAGACTGCTCCTCATAAAACATTCCAGAGACTCGCAGGTACCCGAGGAGGAGCACGAGGAGGGAGGTATTTTCCACTCCATGGATGTGGTGTGTAATTACCGGAGACAGATCCTGATCCTCCGTGTTGCTCATCGCTGCTGCCGTGTCTAAGAATTCCTTGATATTCAAAGTGCCCCAAACCAAGCCAGGTTTGCATAATGTGATGAAATTAGGAAATGATGTTTCACGCCTGGGTATTACAGTGTGCACACAAACACTTTCATCCTGTGTCGGGGCGTTGCTGGCTCGGCTCTGATACCGAGCACCAGAGGATGTCTGCAAATGGAATTATTTCAGGATAGTTATCCTAAATAGCCCCATGTAGGGAAACCTGTATTGTAGCACAAAAGCACCTTACTCCCCTTTATCGTAATCCATTTAAATGTGGATTATGCTGATGCAGAACAGGGCGCTCCTACTTTGGAATAATTTTAAATAGGAATAGTTTTTTGTGCTTTTGGCTCACACCCTGAATTATCCAAACTGGCTTTGAAGTGTAAACAAGCCTCTGATGTGTCTGTAGTTTTTCCATTCTGCTCCCTGGCTCCTCCCTGTTCCTTGGCTCTTCCTTTGGGAAGGTCCAGAGCAAAACCAGACCTGCAGAGCCCGTCATTTAGGTCTTTGCTTTCACAAACCTCATACCAGTCCAATTCCCAATTTAAATGCCTCCCTAAGCTTTGAAGGGAATATTTAAATGCGAGTTTCTGATGCTGAGCCATCCCCACAAATTATATTAGGACATGAAATGTTTCCTTTCACACTTTTCTGAAAGGAAGGAGGTTTGTTTCAAACCTCCCGTGGGCCCTGTTGGGACAGTTTGGAGTTTTCCTCTGTTATCATCAGCCAGCGTGTGCATCTCCAGAGAAACCCAACAGGTACCACTCTGAGAAGGGTCCAATGCAGGGAGTGCTGCCCTGGCTCGGTCCCATTCCAGCTGTCCAGCCTCTGGCTGTGAGGAGCCCTGGATGTGTAGGGAAGGCTCCCTAAAATCACCCTCTTCCCTTGTGTCACGAGCCATTTTTACATCTGCTTCCCTGAAAAGCTGCAGCTTCTTACCCAAGGCAGGTAAGGCTCCCTTGTTCAGACCTGCTTCCTG